AGCAACTATATAGAAGAAATAAAAAATAACAAAATCTAATTAAAATCTATAAATATCTAACAAAATTGAATATCATGGTGGACAATTCAAATTAAAGATTTGAAACACTATTTCTTAGAAAGCATACATTACAAATAATGGAGAAACTGGGTCAAGAATTATTAATTATTATCAAAGAAAACGATATTTGACATAAACAACCGCTTAAAATACTACAAATCAATAATTGATACAATATATACATTTCACAGATTTTTTACGTCTCATTGAGCGATTAGTACAATGATAGTAATTCTTGATAAAATTGCTTTAAACATTGCTTTCCCAAATTTCTCAATTATTTATATCGTATTTATACATACGATTAAATAACCTTATTCCGAATTAGTAATACCAATATTAACAAAATATAACAGAACAATCTCAGTTTTATATTTAACTTTTATAATACGTATTGGAATCCAATTATCGTAATTGAGATACACGACACATCACATCGAGTTAATAATCAAATTTTGGCTTTTAGTACATTTACAAAAGAGTTACTTGTAACTCGCTGATACACAGATGTGGCATGTGGCGAATCACTAATGATAGATTTGCTAGTAATATTGTGTCGTGTATGATAAATGGACTAAGAAATAAGATGCCTAACTGACTTAATTTCTGATAGGTCCTGCGTATTGAAAAGGTACAATCGTATCCGCGATTTTTTATGAACACGATATAACACAGTAAAATATATGTGCATGTAACTACTTAAGAATTATTACAGAGCTGCTATCCTGAATCCGTTTACATTACATGTATGTATATATGTAATATGTTTACATACATACGTGTACATACACATGGCATTCTGAAAACAGTGATACAAATGAAAAACATAGAAATTTCTCTAAAAGTGAAATTTTTTGTTGCCATTCACTGGCTACGATTAAGTACAGTGCAGCTGTGCGTTCACTTTAAACATTCCTCATTAGATAACAAAGCTGCGTGCAAATTGAACACTTTAATTATATAAATTAAAAAAAACTCAAAACTTAAGAACCATTTCTTTCACTAATACGGAATTCTTATATTTTTCACTTGTACAGATCTATTTTCGATACACCTTATACATTATATTCATATATATATATATGCATTTATATTTATATTAATATATATATATATATAATTTTGTGGATGGTGAGTGCCCATCTTTCTTCCTTCCTTTCCGTCTTCATTTTTCTGTACTTTTACAATTCTTCTTTTTATTTCAATCTCAAATGTGTACTCAAGGGCATCAAGCCAATTATTTTTTCTGTTTTGTTTGTTCTTCGTTTATGCTTACGCCATATCGATCTCAGGTGTAAGACTTAGTAAGTGGTCAACAATAAGAAGCACAGTTTCAACAAGTAACGTTTCTTGTCTTGCACTCATAGATCCATGCATACTATGTATTCTTTTACACATACATACACACATATTCAAGCAGGCATAGATTCTCTCTTCTGTTCTTTCCCTCTCCTATCTCCTTCTCATCTGTTTTCATATTCAATCTCCTTTGCCTTGTCCTCCCTTTCTTTCATTCACTATAATTGTCTTACTATGAAAACTTACTCTATTGACATTGCTCAATGATCTATCGAGTAGTCGAAGAGTTTCATATGGAGCTCTTGTCTTCTTTTCATCTATTGATTCTTGCGTTGTATCTGAAATAAAAAAGAAAACAACCACTATAGGAATTTATTATGTTAATTTTGATGAATAATAATACAAGAACTTGAGCCAAGCTGGAGGAACAGAATCCATTAACTGTAATTAAGTCAACAAAAATTAATTTTCTTATATAAATTAACAAAACTCAAACTTTTATCATAAATTATAATACAAAATTATTTATGTAAAATAGAAATTGTGTAAGTTTACCAATAGTCTCAGATTATGTCTGAAGGGGTTAGTAAGCTGGTGCTTGGAATTCAGGCATCCGTTGTTGCTGCTGCTGTTGCTGTTGTTGTTGGCCGAATGGAGGGTCTTGATATCCAGTATCAGTTGCATCAGGATAACTTGTATAGCCTGTGCCTCCAACAGGATCTGCCTCATAACTAGGTGCAAAAGCAGCATCGGTTCCTTGCTTGAATCTTTGGAAGGCGAACCAGGCACAGCCAGCCTATTAATATCAAATAAAATATATTAAAATCAGAATTAAAAACAAAATTCATGTTTCTTTAATATAAAATAATATTTAAACTAATACGATTTCTCAACACTGTACTGTTGTCTTATGAATCATCTCTTTTAAATTGTTTATATAGTTTTATGAGCTAAGCAAAAAAAATATTTGGCCGATGTACCCAGGTAAAAATGGAGAAGAAGGAAAAGGCAATAGCACTCTGGACATTGTTCACTCCATAGTTATTGTCCGGTTTTTCTGATTTGTTCCAAGCATTGGTTAAATAACAAAATCCAACGAAGTAGAGGAATGCCCAAAAACCTGAAAATCTAAACACCAAAATTGAATATTTCATTTCGTATAAAAACAGAACGTACATATACATTAATTAAGAAGTTATCACAAAATTGGTTTCGATATTTGGATCAGAAAATTGAGGTCATTAAGGTCATACTGAACAGCTATCCCCACCATTTAATATTTTTTTACTGTGACTGATTACACTGTGATTGGCATTTAAACAAAATACCTTTGAGTTTAAGAATAAAATGGTATATTCTGACAATGATATTTTTTCTAAAAAATCAATTTTATATAGCAAAATTTTATTTTTTATTTTTCAATTTCGATTTACAATTACGACCTTATAAATTGTATTTGTAAAATACCAAAATTTTCAATTATTAATTCCGATTGGATCAAAAAGTCGGATAAATATTTAATCTTCTTATTATTGCTATATATAAATCGACATTTAATTCATATTAAAATTAATGTGAAACCGTTGAACCCGATTTCTAAATATCATTTATTAGTTAAACGTAATTCTATTTCTGAGCTAAGATAATGAAAATAATGTTGGTAATAATACCCCAGGTCAAGAAGGACGAAATGCTTTCTGGTTTTAACAGAGGACATCTGCTCGAATAGGTATTCCCCGATAAGGAATCCGATGCTAGCAAGAAAGGCAAGGACTCCGATTCCTATTCCATAATTACAAGCATTGTGATCCCCGTTGTAGAGACAAACCTCCTCTCCTCCTTCTTTTGTAATGTATCCCTTGTTGCTTATGCATCCGAATACGATTATTGCAAAGAGCTGCAAAATTAAACAATGACACTGCGAATTCCTTAAGTTACTTAAAGGTAATACAAATAAGTGTTCTATCGACGCTTAAACCTTCGCGCCATTTTCTTTTATAACGTTCGTCAAAAAATGAGTCGTAGATATTGAAAATAATATATCTTATTCCTTAAAACAGATTCATTCATTTGAAATATATTTGCTTACTTAACATATTTGTTCGTATAAAATCGAATATAGAATTTTAACTAGATTCATATCCGTTTGGCGTAGGTATGCATGCAATTAAAAGCACAAAGGAAATTCAATTACAAGACGGGGGATGTATGATAAACATAATTTATTTATTTGTTCATATAATTTACAATAACAAAAAAAGGTGTT